AGACAAAATTAACTATAAATTAATAATATTTGAAATTATAAGGAAATTTAAAATAAAAATGAAATATTTCATTATAAAACTAACATCTATTTTATCAATATTTTTTATGATATTATTAACCGGAAACATTCCTATACATGTAAAATCATATAAAGAAAATACTCGATTAATATCATTATCATCTTCATTTACAGGAGGTTTATTTTTATCGATAGGAATATTATATTTAATACCTTAATCCTAAGAAAATTTAAATTAGCATTACCTAAGAAAGATTAGAATATTTAAAGGAGGATTATATAAAATAAAAAAATAAAAAATTATTTAATAATAAAAAGATGAAATAAATGAAATGTATAATTAAATGCCCGAACATTTTTAATAAACATTATAAAAAAATAAACATAAATTAAGCTAAGAATAGTAAGAAGAGTTAGAATAGTAAGAATTGGAAGAATTGTAAGAAATTTACGATTTTTTACATGATTTTAGTTATTTAGACGAAGAGCCTATTACTATAGATGAAGATATCTTTGTTAAAAAATTTCCGTGGTCGTTTTTTGTAATTGTTTGCACTTTTTCATTAATGCTCCTTATAGATAAAGTTATTACGGGATATAATTCGATTAAAGATTATTTAATTGATGATGATTTATATTTATAGTATTTAAATATTCAAAATTATAAAAATTATTAAATAAAAAAATAATAAATTAACAACAATATATAATAAAACAATATAATTGAAAACTAATAAATTAATAAAAAAATTGAATAATAGGATATTTAATAAATACAATCTTAATAAATAAATATAGAATAAAATATTGATTACAAAAAAAGATATACTACATCTGAAATGTTATAAAATAAAGATGAAATCTCTTTAAAAATGAGTATATCGAAATAAAGTAATTAAATATAAAATATACTTTAATAAAATAAATGAAAAAATATCTTAGAACTGCTTGAAACCATATTTATTATAAATAACGTTTGGATTTAATGCTATATTAGAAGGATTGGCTATTGGACTTGAAAAAGATTGGATAAAATGTTTAGTAATATTCGGAGCTGTACTAATTCATAAATGGATTGAAGGATTAACTTTAGGAAATTATATGAGAAAATCTAATATCAATAAAAAAGTAACTACTATAATGATTATTATTTTTGCTATTATGAATACAATAGGTATAGGGATTGGATGGATTTTATGTGATTCAGAAAAATTTTATATGAGTATTTATATGAGTATTAGTGCTGGTACATTCTTTTATATTACTACTATTATAATTTTAGAAGAAGAATTTAATAATATAAAATATAGATTTTAAAAATTTTTTATATTTTTAATTGCGGTAGGAATAGGAAGCTGTTTTTGGTTTTTAGAAAAATAAATAAATTTTAAACATTGAATTATTTTTATAAAATTTATATATTTATAGTAATATGCCTATTTTATGAATAATTGTAAAAGTATTTAAAATTAATTGAATTCTTATAAATAAATTAAAATATATAAATATAAATATAAATATAAATATAAATATATATATATATTAATAATATTTATTTTTATTAATAATATTTCTTAAAAAATTAATATATATATTTATATTAAGATTTTCTTATATATAATTATAATTATTTTTATTTAATTTTTTTTTAAAATGCAATTAAAATTAAAATTATTTAACAAATAATGAATTTTTTATTTATTATATAAATAAAATAGCTTTAATAATAATCATATATTCAAAATTTTTAAAAATATCTTTTTTACATTACCTATAATAAATTAATTAAAATAAAAATTGAAAACTTATATATTAAAATTTATAAAATTTTCAAAATTATTATAATTTTATTATATATCTTAAATATTCCTTTCTGAATAAATTATTTAAAGAAAAATCTTCATAAATTTTTTAAATAAAATTCTAGAAATTTATACTTTTTATTTCCTTTTTCCATATTCATTTTTTATAATGAATTAATTTATTTATTTTCTAAATCTTAAGTATAAATTAATGAAATATTATCATGAAAAAACACCTAAATAAAATTATAAGTTTATACATATTTTTATAATAAGAAAAAAAAAAAAAATATTGATGACTATATTTTATGATAATTATAAATTTTTGATTTATATTTTTATTTATAAAGATATTTCGGTAATTTATACAAAATTCGCAATTTTAATACATTAATATTTCATTAAATTTAATAAAAAAAGATTATTATTAATAAGTTTGTGTTTAAGAAAAAAATAATAGTAATAACCAGTAAATATATAAAAATAATAAGTATTAATAATACTTATAAGAAAATTTTTTTAATATTTTAATAGTATTTCGAAATTAATGAGGCATAATAAAAAGCGAATAGAAAAAAAAACTCAAAAAAATAAAATAGCTTGAAGCCTAATATACTAAAATAACATTTTTTAATATTAATTAACTTAAATAGATTGGATATCGTATTAAATAATAATTGAGTTAAATCTATAATATTAGATAAAACAGTACCTTATCGTAAATGGTAAGAAATATTTTAAAAAAGAGTATATTCTTTTAAAAAAAATAATAGAATAGCATTAATAAAAGCTTTTATGAATCCTAAATAAATAAGTATTTATTGTATTTAAATAATTTAGGAAGAATATAGTTATATGTATTTTTATGAGTATTAATGATGGAAATATATTAGAGAAGTTTATTTATAAAAAATTTTATTCTTTTTATGATTTATAATTGATTTGAAGTTTTTAGTATTTTAATAAAGGAAATAAAAGTCTTTTAATTTTATATGTTTTTGTAATAATTATAAATATATATATATATATTTATATATATATATATATTATAAAAAATTTATATAATTAAAAAAAAATATTATAATTTTTATTATAATGTTTTTAATAAATTTAATAAAAAAATATTTTTTTTTTTAATTAGATATATATATATCTATTTAATTTTTTTTTATTTGAAAAAGATAAAAAAAAATGAAAATTTGCTTAATGTTTTATATTATTAAAAATTAAAAATATTAATTTTATATCTAATTATTTTTTATAAATTTTTTTAAAAAATATAAAGTATATATATATTTTTTGTTTGTTTGTATAAAAATTTAAATAAATTATTTTATATAGATAAATAAAACTATAGTATAGAAAATAGAAATTAAATAAGATAATATGATAATAAAAAGTAAAATTAATCAAGAAAAATAAAGAAAATAATTTAAAAATATCATAAAAAAAATTATTTATATAAATGAAAATTATTATTATAATTATAAATAATATTAATAATTTGAAATAAAATTAAAATAAAATAAATATAAATTAATAATTATTAAAGAAAACGAAATGAAAGATAAAATAAAAATTAAAAATAATTTAATATAAAAATAAATATAAAAAATATAACTTAAAATAATATTAAAATTAAATATTTAATATATGATGATATATTTAATAAAAAATAATAAAAATTATAAATTAATATATATTTTAATTTATTTTAATTAATATTAAGGTTAAAATATAATTATAATATATAATATTATAGCATGAAATATTAAAAAATTTTATATATAAATATTAATATATATATATATATATTTATATATATATATAAATATATATTTATGTTAATATATATATAATTTTTTTTTTTTTGTTTTAAATTTATAACTTGATTTATATTTATTTGGATTAAAAATAAATTAAAGTGAAACATAACAAATATATCATTATATAGTTTTATATATATATATATAATAATTCATATTTATTTATATTTATAAAATTTTAATACAAATTTATATTATTTTATATATATATATTTCTACAATTATTTTTATATATGTGAATAATTAATTATATATTTTCAAAAATAAAAATTAAAAAACATTAAATAATTATTTTTTATCTATATAAATATATCATTAAAAAATCAAATATAATTTTATATTTAATTTAATTTTTTTTTTTAATATAAAAATAAATTTATATTTAAGTAATTATTTAAACTAAAAATAATCATTTATAAATTATTATTTAAAAAAAAAAAAAAAAAAAAATTATAAAAAAAATGTAATCTTGGATAATTAAATTAATTTCTATTTTTATTATGTTCATAATGATATTTATAACTGGAAATATTCCTTTACGATTAAAATCCTATAAAGAAAATACTCGATTAATTTCCATATTATCTGCATTTACCGGAGGTTTATTTTTATCAATAGGAATATTTTATTTAATACCTGAATCCTAAGTATTTTATCTAGATTTCTACTAATAATAAATAGAAGTAAAAAATTATGATGTTTAAATAGATCCAAAATAAGATTAAAATGAGGAAGAACATGCTTAAGAAGAAAATAATAATCCTGATGATTAATTCTAAAATGAGTTAAATTAAGAATTACACACAATTAATATTACTGAATAGATTTTTATGAAATATTATCCATGGTCTTTTTTTATAATTGTTACAACTTTTTCATTACTGCTGTTTTTAGATAAAGTTCTTACAATAGTTGCTTCGCAGTAGAATAATAAAGGATAGAAGTATACATATAATGGAAATTTTGAAAATGATGTTAATTAAGAATAATAGAATTTCGAAAATAAAATGACTAATAATAATGGATAAATAAATTAATAATAAAATAATTAAAATACTAATAAAAATATAGTAGAAACAACTTAATAATAAGAAGTTTTTTCTTAAAAATAAAATATGGATTAAAATATTGAATGTGAAAATAAAACAACAAGTATTGCGATTTTAAAAATGGAAGAAGATAATTAAAATGTGAGAATAGTTTTATCATAATAAAAAAAATAAGTAGAAAAAATAATCTAAGAAATAAAAAAGCAAGATTCTTAAAAAAACTTTAAACCTTATTTATTATAAATAGCATTTGGAATAACTGCTATATTAGAAGGATTAGCTATTGGACTAGAAAAAGATTGGGTTAAATGTTTAATATTAGCTGCAGCAGTGCTTTGTCACAAATGTACAGAAATACTTACTTTTGCAAATTCGCTTAAAAAAGCTAATATTAATTTAAAAGTAGCTACTATAATGGTTATTATTTAAGCTATTATTAATATTATAGGAATAGGGATTGGATGGGGTGTAAGTAATTAAGGATATTTAGAAATGTGTATTTATACGAGTATAACTTCTGGTGCTTTCATTTATGTAGCTACTTTGGAAATTTTAGTTGATGAGTTTAGTAATAAAGGATCTAAGATTTTAAAATTCTTATTTTTTATAATTGCAATAGTGATAGTTAGTGTTTTATGGTTTTTTGAAGAGGAAGTAATGCCAAATTATTGAATTTATTTTTCTAATAATAACATTTATATATTATTTTTATTTGTTTTTAATTTAAAGAAAAAAAATTAATTTTTTTTTTTTTTGGATGAGAAAATTTTTTAATTTATATATATATATATATGCCAGAACTCAAATAAATATATAAAATATTAAAACTTTAAATCAAAAAAGATCAAATATAAGTTTAGATAATAAAATACTCATAATGATATTATTGATAGGAAATTATAACCTTTAGGATATAAAGAAAATTCTTGAAAAAAAATAAAAAATAATAATAACTTAAGACCTTCCTTTTGCCGTATGGTTTATTCTTATCAATTTTAATGTTTCATATATTGCCTGATTCTAAGAAATATTACCAAAATAAATAAAAAATACCTGAATAATTCTCAAAGGATATATGTTTATAAAAAAGAAAAGTAAGTTATTCATAAATCCTTTTTTATTAATAAAACTATTTACATAATACATCCGAATGAATAATAGAGAGATTGTATTTAAAAAGAAAAATAATAATAAATCACAAAATATATAAATAATATACTAATATAAAACTCTTATACTCTTGTAAGTGAAGATAATATTACTTAGAAAATTTAAATAATTACTAATTTATTAAAATTTGGGAATAATAAATAAAGACTCTAAGAGACTAAGAGTTGAAAATTTCTCAAATAAGAATAATTTATTAAAATTTAAAAAAAAAAAGTCAAGCAATAATACACTAATAAATAGAAAAATAAGATTCTTAAAAAATCTTAAAACCTTATATAATATAAATGACATTTGGAATGACTTTTTCATAAATGCGCAGAAGGAAAATTGCTTTAAGACTTTCTTTTAAATAAGCTAATATTGGCTTATAAGTAGCTAATGAAATGGTTATTATTTAAGAAGCAGTTATTAATATTATAGGAATAATAAGTATTGGATGGGGTTTAAATAATTAAGGATGCTTAATTATGTATATTTTTAAGAGTATGAGTGCTAGGACTTTCGCTTATATAGCTAATTAAGAAGTTTTAGTAGATGAATATAGTAATAAGAAATGTAATATAGAATGTAATAGAATTTTTTTGTAATAAGATTTATATATTATATTTATATTTTTTTTTTATTTCTAAGAGGTTTAAGAAATTAAGTTTTTGTATAAAATAAATGTAAATTTATATATATATACAAATATAGTTATTTCTATAAAAAATATATATAAACATATAAAAAATAAAAAAAAATTTTTTTTTTTAAAAAAAAAATAAATAAATATGTAAAATTAAATTGAATTAGACCTTCCGAAATTAAATTTATAATAACTAATTAATTAACGCTTAACTTCAAACGAATTTTAAATAGAACATAATAATTAATAAATATAAAAAATATTAAAGTTATCTAAAAAAAAAAATTCAGCTATTTTTTAATAAAAAACATAATAGAAAAAAATATTAACTACTTAATCTAAATATCCGAGAAGATCTTATTAATTAAATTTAGATATCTATTAAAATAATATTAATAATAAAAATAATATTAATAATAAAAACAATATTAATAATAATATTAATAATAATAATAATAATAATAATAATAATAATAATTTTAATTAATACTAAATTTAAATAGACTAGTTTTTAGCAAAAGTTTTCAGAAGAATAGTAAAGGAGCATTGTATTAATAAATGGCTTATTTTAATTTTGATTCACCTTTAAGTAGATCTAAAGCGGATAGACTTAAGTCTTAGACTAGTAGAAAAACATTAAAAAAAAATACATTAATTGAAAACACTAATAGTTTTATGGCTAATTTAAATAAAGCCTAATCAAATATTAATAATTCAAGCGAAAATTAATCAATTTTTAACGCATCTTCACAATGTAAAATTAAAAATACAATTTCTAAGCCTAAAAGTATGCCGAATCAATTAGATTTAGGTATTTTAAACAGCGAGATAACCGTTGAAAAAACGGAGAAAATATTTAAATAATTTTTCTAATAAAATAAAGGATAAACATGTAAATAATTATGCTAAGAATTGAAAAAATCGTTACAAAATTTCATTTAGGAACATAAATAATAGGTATTATGTGTAAAAAAAGCTTTAAATTTATGTTTAAATGAATTTTTGTAATTTTTTAATGGGGAAAATTAATAATATGCAGAATTTATAAATTATATCTTTAAAAATTTTTAGCATATATATGAATTTATAATTGATAAAATATAATAAAAAAATAATTTATTATAAAAAAATAAAAACAATGTTTAGAATTAAGAAGATATTAATAATATAAATAATATTAATAATATTAATAATATTAATAATATTAATAATAATAATAATAATAATAATATAATTAAGTTAAATGTCTTTTAGAGAACAAATTAGAAGACTTTAAAAACAAAGAAGAAGAGTTTTTAAAAAAAGAAGAAGAAATGGATAATAAAATTATCTTATTTGAAATTTCAATTAAAAACGCTAATAATGAAATTTAAAAATTGAAAAAAATAAATTTTTTATTATAAAAATAATTAACAGATATTAAAAAAAATTAATAAAATAAAGTAAATATTAAAAAAAAAAAATACAAAAGTGTTAATCTTTTAGAGTAATAATTATATATATATATATATTTTATTTTTAATTTTATATATATATAATTTTATATCATTTTATTTTATTTTAATATTATATATTTATAATTTATAAATTAGTTTAGGTTAATAAATAAAAGAATAATCAAATAGTAGTTTTTCTAATTAAAGTTTCGGATAAACAATTTAGATTAATAATTAAAATTATACTGTTGAATAATTAAATGCCTTTTCTCATTTAGATGAAGAATTATTAATTTCTTAAAATTTTATAAATAACGCGAACGTGAATCAATTATTAATTAATTAAAAAAATGATTAAATTTGTTAAACTGATTTATAACTGATTTAAACAAAATATGATGAATTTCTTTTTAATAATTAATAGATAGATTTAGTTATTGATGCATTTTTGGAACATAATTAATGTAGTAATAAATAAAAAGAAGAGTAGTTTAATTAATATGAATAACTGCATTTATAATAGTTAGAAATTAATAAATAATTAGAAGATAAAATCTAAAATTTAATGTAATAGTAAAATCACACAAACGAGAATATTACAAAAGAAAAAAATTAATAAACAAATAATACTGAAATTGAAAAATAAAAAAATAAAAAGGTTTAACCCAAAAAAATATAGGATAAATGGAAAAGATTTATATAAAAAAATGAAATGTAAAGTAAAAATCAATATAAAATATATTTATATATATATTAAATATATATATAAATAATAATAGGTGTAAATAATGCTCCAAAATTAGGATAAAAAAATGTAATTGATTTTGATTTAATATATAAGACAGACTAAGGTAGAATACTTGTTGAATAATTATAAAGTAATAAATATGTGAATTTTAGAAATTATATGGTTTTACCTACTATAATGAAACATATAAATTTAATATATTAAGACAGGATAAAATAAATAAACGAAAACGAAAAATTTAAAGAAATTGATTGTGCCAATTTTACTTATATTTTTCTTTCCAAACTTTTTGGGTTGAAACAAATTATTGATTAGAAATTTATTATATTTATCCTTTCTGTGAAAAAAAATATGTAGATTTTAAGAATTAACTAATTTGCAAATTTCATCTTTAATTAAAACTCTTTATCTGAATTTAATTAATATATAGATATTATTAATTTTACAGAAAACTTATGTACAGTTGCTAAAAACATTGAAAATATAGAAATTGAAAACAAATATTATATTCCATATTTAAAAGTGGTTTGCTTTATCGGTTAGTATAATATATTTATATATATGTATTAATTTTTTATAAAAAAAGCTAATTTTTCTGATTCTAGAATGACAAATGAAGAAACAATTGAATTTTAAAAAGAAATTGAATAATTAAAGATTGTAGATATTCGAAATCCGAATAATTATTTGATTTCTTTTGATGATTTTTTTTATAAAACAATTGAAAAATAAAAAATGTTAGTTAATCGTGCAAAAATATATGTTATAAATGCGTTTGGTAAATACATATATTTTTTATTTAAGGTTAAAGATAAAATATTAACAAAAAAAAGATGCTAGTGATCTAGATGGTAATGGAGTTTGTAATTTATAAGAATTCCTTATATTAAATAAACATATAGAAAATGAAAATTATAATGAGGAAATATTAACTCAAATTTTTAAAGAAAATGCAGATAAATTCATTGATGATGAATAAAATCTTTCATTTGATAAGTTTGCATCTGTAAGTGTTGATTTTAATCTCTTTAGTGATGATTAATAAAATAAATTCATTGCAATTAAACATAAGTAAGAACTTAATATTAAATTTGATGAATTAAAAGAAAACTGGAGTTCCAAAAAAGAAGAAATTTTTTTAAATATTTAATCTTTATTAGATGAAGATGATATACAAAAATGGAAGTAAATAATTTTTTTTTTTAAAAAAAAAAAAGAAGAAATATTTTTATAATTTTTTTAGTGAAATTTTAATGATTTTAGATAAAAGAATTTCAAGTAAAGAAAAATAAGCTATTAAACCATTATTAATTGCTGTTAAAATTTTAGAAAAAGAAGTTTTAGAAATGGCTTAATTATGTGCTGAAGAGAGAAATAATTATGAAACTATCAGTTATGTTATTGGATAGTGTTAAAATGAAGATTAGATTGAATAAATTAAAGAAAAATTAACTATTTAATTGGAAATTATTACTTATGATAAACAAAAAATTATTGATTATTCTAAAAAGACACTTAATTAGAATAATGATTTAAATGAATTTTAAAAAATTCTTTATTAGTTTTTAATTGAAAATGTCAGTTCTGAATGATGAGTTATTATTATTTTTTTTTTTTTGTTATATTATTTATATTTAATTCCTTAGTATTTTTTTTTTTGGGGGAAAAAAAAAAAAAAAAAAATTAAATAAATTTAATACGTTTTTTTTTTTTTTTTGCATTTGTATAAATTTTTTTTTTTTTTTTTTCTAACAAAAAAAAACACTGATGAGATTAAAAAACAAAAACTATATGTAGATAGATATATTAAAAAAAAAGTCAATCTTATTTACAAAAAAAATATTATTTTGAATAAAATTAATTTCGAGACAGTCACAAGAATATTGTTTTTCATTTTTATTCATTTAAAATATACATAGATCTTATTCTATAGGGTGTTAGATGGAATCGCATATTTTTGATTATTGGTTTTAAATTAGTTGTAAAATTTAGACTATTATAGGAAAATAAAATGGAAGTTGGCAATCAATAAATAAAATTATTTATTAAAAATTCTAAAAAAATATGTTTTTTTTTAAAAAAGATTAAGATAAAGAATTTCTTTTTATTTTTAATATAATTAATTATAAAAAATAAAAAGTTAAATAATTTTTAATTTAAATATAATATTGTAAAATATAGTTGAAAAAAATTACAATATAATAAAAAATATAAAATATATTTCAACAAAAATATATATTAAAATTATATGACTTTCCAAATAAATTATATAAAATTACTTTTTTTATTATATTTTCTTTATATTAATTTTCAAAAAATCTATAAAGAAGTTAATTTAAAAAAAAAAAAATGGAGTAATAATAATTTATATTATATTTTATTTAATTAATAATTTATACGATTATAAATAAAACAAATAATTATATAAAATAATTAAAATTTAATAATTAGAATAAAAAAATACTATTTTTTTTTTTTTAATTAAATACTATTAATATTTTAATTTTCATAAATAATTTAAAAATGTTTATATAAATATAAAATTAAATAAAAGAATATTATTTTAAATAGTTTTGTTTTTCGATTCATAATTTTCAAAGGTCGTATAATTTTAGTGTTTTTTTATTATTTTTAGAGATGATTATTTAAACGCAATTATGCTTTAACAAATATACAATATAAAAACTAAAATATATTGATAACTCATTTTAATATATAGAAAACTTATTTATATTAAAATATATTTAAGAGAATTATTATTTGCTGTATTTTTTCATAGGGCTAAATATATTTATTATTATTCTTTTCATAATAGATATATTACTTTTTCGGTTAAACAAAAAGAATAATAATATATAACTTTTAATAAGCTTTTTATCATAGATATATAAACATTTGCTCTTAATGCCTTAGATATACTTAGGAGCCTCAACATTTAAAAAAAAATTAAGTGTTTTATTTCTAGTTATTTTTATTATATTTTTTGGTAAAAAAAACAATAAAAAAATGAAAATTTATTTATATAAATTTTTTTAGCTATTTTTATCGAACTCCATAATCAAAATTTTTAATTATAGTCTAGATAGGATTATTTAGTAAAGAAAGGTTCTCAATTTTTGGATATTTTAGTAATTATATTGGTTGCAATTAGTATATTTTTGGAAAATTAATAAAGCCGTTTATATAATTTAGCAATCAATTTCACTTCAGCAATTATTAAAATAGTAAATGTAATTTTAAACAAATAGTTTTTGTATAAAAAAATGAATTTTTTTATTTGTTCTTAGCTTTTTTTCATACAAGCACTTGTTTTATTATTACAATGTGCTTTTTTATAAATATTGAATAAAGCCTAGTTTTTATAATAATAATTATTTTGCCTTTTGAATATTAATTTGCCTTGAAAATTCACTAAAAATAATATAATTTAAACACTTTATATGATAAATATAAAAATAGAAAATAATTAAGTAAAAATAATTTTTTTTTTGTTAAAAAATCTTATTTTTGAATAAAAAACTGAATATGATGACTATAAAAAGAACGGGTAAATATCAATTATATTAGAAGATTTTACTTTGGAACATATATAAAAATGTACATAATTTCCGGATTGCTATTGTAATTGTGTGGATTAAGTTTAATATTATTTTAATATTTTAGATAGTACTTAAAGGGATTTTTTTTTGAGGGATTATATATAATCTCTGTTCGAAAATAATAATGAGTTTGAAAAAGAAATTGAAATTTAATTTTCTTATTTAAATTTTTTGATATATATTGAATAGAAAGAAATAAAGGCAATAATTTAATTTTCTAAATTATAAAAAAACCAAAATCTTACTTTTTTATAAAAGGCTTTTTTGGGTGAAATTTATTGTAAAAGTTTAATTTTAAAAGAAAAAAATGAAAAAAGTGAACTTTTTATAAAAATAATTGATTTAGATAGTAAAATGTATGAAATGGAAAAAACCTATTAAACAGCTTTGTAAAATAAAAAAAGTGTTTTGCTTTATATTTCAAATGATGATATAAATTTGAACGAATTATTAATTAAAAATAAGCATTATTTAGAAAGCCGGGAAAAATTGGAAAAATAATTCGAAGATTTATTCCAAAATAATATTATTAATAACCGATTAGTAAACCTTTATTTAAATTACATTCAGATTTTCAGTTTTGAAGGTTAAAATAAATTCAAGGTTTTTTTAAATTAAAAAATGCAAGTTTTTTTAAAAGAAAATAGTTTAAATAAGTAGTGTGTTTTGTTTGTTTCTCTTGTTGAATTTTAGAAAATAAAAAAATGTTCGTAAAATGTAAAATAATTGCTCGGATATTCAAACAGTGAACTAATATAAAAAAATATTAACTGTCTAATGCCTAATATAATCTCTTTATAACACGATAATATAATAAATAATTATATATAAAAAAATAATTAATAAATTTAGAATAATAACGATTTTATTCCTTTAACTTTAGCTATTGATAAATAAGGATGGGGAGTTCCCATTAATATATAATTCAAACCGTGTTTAATTTGCCTTGATGAATTTGGATTGGTAGCTTAAATTTAATAGGAGTAACTTTATATGTCAGAAGGAGGATTCATTTTGATGGAAAATAATAATTTTAAAATATAAGCTTTAAATAAGAGTATTTTTGATAATTTTCTTAAATAATATATTGAAGTGGATTATTTATATAAAATTTATTTGAATAGAATAATACCTTTACTTAATATATTTGATAATTATGAAAAAAATCTGTAAGAAAATATAAATAAAGATTGTTTTACAACAGTTGGATTTTTACCAAAAGTTGAAAATAAAAAAGATTATCTATTTTAAAAATTAAAAAACAATTAAATTAATGAATTTGTTGAATAATTAAGTGTAGAATATTATGATATTTTTGAAGTCAGTATAAAGTTTTTATAGATAAAAAATAAATATGTGTAATTTAACGTTATATAAATGTTGAAATTTTAAAAAATAGATAGTTTTAGAAATACAATAAAAGCTTTATAATTGGTATAATTTTAATTAAAGAATTTTTTAAATGTAAATTTTGATTTATAAAATAATATTTAGTTATTAAAACTATTAAAGTAAATCAAATATTAGAATATAAGTAGAAAATATATAAATATATATATATATATATAAATTTAAATAAAAATATATAAATATAATATTTATATATATATATATATATATTATTTAAAAATTA